TACAAAGCCCATCACCCTGCCTCTGTTTGGGACTCTTTCTCTTAATCTAAGCCAAGTTTGTTGTTGTATTGAATAAACGGTTTCCTGAGCAGAAGACCCTCTTGTTGGAAAACCATGCCAGTCACCAGCAACTGTAGCCTCCCTGGACATGATCTTGCAACCCCGGAACGCTATATTGGAGAAATCACATTATTGCAAGACATGAAATGAAAATTGTGATTTTATCCATCTTCAGACTGCTACAATCATCTCTTCTGAGATTAGTTTACATATGAATCCCTAGACTACCTTTTTTTTGTCTCCCTTGGGAATAACTTGCTGAAACTTCCTGAATGCTATAACTGATTTTTTTTTCCACCACAGCACAACCATTCTAGCTTATAGCTAGAATCATAAACAATTCACACACCATGGTCATTCTCCTGTCTTGTTCCTCACTGTGCTTCAAGGTGAAAGCAGACACTTCTGTCAAGTTCATATCTGCAATTATGATACAGAACTCTTAATTTCTATTACTTCAGCCCCCAAAGACATCTAGTGCCTCCTATATGACATGCAAATCAACTTTTGTATCGATGATGCCCGAAAAGTTCAGGTCACCAGAAAACATAATCCAAATTTATCATCCAAAATTACTAAAAGCACTTATAAGTAAAATCTGTCTAAACACATTCCTTTAGAAGATCTAGAGTAATCTTCCAATAATCTGATGTTTCTCCTTCTAGGACAAACTACTAGTATGTCCATTGGAAAAAAATGGGCAAATCTAGCATTGATGTAACAGAGATCTCGAAACTAATATAGCTAATAATAACTCTATGTACCCCCTCTATCATGAATTTAATAGCATTTACTTTGAAGTCACTCCATTGTGATTGTCAGAAACCCTTTTTATCTTCTTGAAGAACTGTGTCAGAAAGATACAAAGTGGTCTATATTAGTAATATCCTAAGGGACTGCACACCAACTGGTTCCCTCCCCCAGCTGGTTCGGGAAAAAGATTTCCTTGGAGAAAAGTGGAAAAAGCTGTTTATTTAACAGAAATTGAATAATATTAAACAATAAAACCTCTTGCTGTTTGATGAGATGGCAAATCCAGAAAAAGTCCTTTCATGGGATGTAGCTTAGCTCACTCAGTCTCTTATCAGTCCCTCCTGCACTGTAAAGTGCTGAGGCCCAGGCACCAGTGGGCCACAGGTATGAGCTCCCAGGGTTTGTCTGGGTTTGCAGTCCAGAGCAGGTTTGAACAGATCCAAGAAAGAAGGGAAAAAACAGTCCAGGGAACTTCTCTGCCTCAGCGAGCTAAGAACTAACTAAATGCAAATGTCCTGCTGTCTGTCCGTGCTGCAGACAACATGGTCCAGGAGCAGGATGCGGAGGAGTGAGGACTCGTTCTGAACACAAACTGCGGCTTCTTCTTTTCCCTGCTTCACTCTTAGAGCCAGTCTTAAAGGTGCAGAACTTAACATGTAACATAAGCAAGACTACTTGGGATACAAACATCATAAAATCACCCCAGGACACAATCTTTTTGACTTTTATGAGCCTCTATGGTCTAATTCTCCTGTATCATATTGATTTATGGTTTTCCATATTCAGTGAAAATACCTTCAGTCCTAAGTCTACTGGCCACCCATTTTCATGTATTGAGTGCATTTAAGCAACAGATGCATCTTTAAGATACCATCATGGTTTTCTCTCTGTGGAATATGCATCAAAAGATCTATCATTATTATTTTATAAAATAAGTTGGAATTAATGGTAGGCAACTCTAGAGTCCTGATAAAAAATATTCAAGTGGCTTGGCTGATATCTGCTATAAGACAGATAAAGTCAAGAAACCAACTGATAAGAAAAATGCAAAAAGACAAGCACAGGCAGTAGCTGCCTGATGTGATATTGCAGCATAGGAGCAATACAATCAAGCTAGAAGGAAGAAACACTTTTCATTAAAAATTAGGTGGTATAAATCATTAGGTGGACATAGAAAATAGCCATTAATATGGCAAAAGCTGCAAAATAAGGACAGGAAAATAGATTAGGATTGGCTATACTGCAGTCTCACAGCCAGGATTGGAAAGCAGAAGAGGCGGGTTCTCATAAGAAATTAAATCAAGTCTCCTGATACTTTTGGCAAGCATACTGTAAGACTCCCTTTCTTACGTTTATAAAAAGCAGTTGTTGTTGGTTTTTTACCATGATTCCCTAAAAACTAAAGTTCTAAAAACAAAAAATTGGCACAGCTGAAAGGGGTTGCAAGACTGCATTTCATCCATTCTACACCTCTGATGCATCAAAAATTTCTTTTCATTTCAAGATGAAAATGAAGATGAAGTAACATAGTTACTATCTAAATATTTTAATATTTAGATTACTACCTAAAAATTTTTAATATTTTAAATAATCTTAAATAAGTTCTCCAGTCCTCTACCCATTTTTCTTCTCTTCACAGGCCACAGACACTGAACTATTCAGCTGCAACTCATGCTCCTCAAATGATGTGAAGGTTTCAGAGTTCATCCTCACTGAAGAAGGTAAACCAGAAACCTGGAGAGGCTCTTCATAGTTTAAAGCTATAATTTAATGGTTGAGAGAACCAAGCACTTTAAGTCTCTGAGTCTACTTTCAACTATGCCTTTAATACACTTGGTAAATATTTGGCTCATAACACCTTTTACTCCATACAAAACAAACAGTAGATAGTATAGATTACTGTCACTTTCACTGCAACCCTTCCTGAGATTTTTTTAGTTTCTCAAGTACTCAGAGATATTCAGGATAAAAGTTTTTTGAAGTAAACTAAATTCACTAAATATCTTGTACAACCTAAGCTGAGTATCACTATAAGCAGTAAAGACTGGAAAACAGTAGTAAGAAGACACATTAACTTCTCCATTATTCATTATGGTAAAAATTAATAATTCTGTTTGGAAAAATACATACCTACAACAATAAAACCACAATTTGGTTGGAGCAGAACATCCAGCAAATTTCATATTTGTGCTCCTCATTCATAAAGCCTTATTAATATAAATATTTAATCCATCCAATTATTACAAGAAGGCATAAAATTATTTCTGATTGCACTTTCTTAGATTAATGAAACAAACTCAGAGAAGAAATAAAGTACTTTTTCTCCAGCTGCTCTTAGTGACTAGGGCCTGCTATGGCTGCAAAGCCTCTGAATCAAGACAGGTTCAAATTCAGTGAAACTTAAACAGAAAACAGAGTTCATACCACATTCCTTGCAATACCACTGGGGTTTCTAGAGGATTTCTACAATGGATGGGTTTCCATTGGTGCATAAGTTCTAGCAAGACAACTATGTACTCCAAAGTTTGAAAACATCAATGTGATAATTTTCTAATCAACAAAAAATCTCCAGAACATTTCCATAGCTGAACTGGTAACTATTCTATGATGCAGCCGAGTATGTGCTGAGACTGTTAATAAATTATACACCTCAGTACCATTAATCTCAAATTAGTTATAATAAGAAATTTTGGCACTAAAGGTTTTCCTACTTTCCTCATAGACCTTTCCACGAAAATTAGAGCCACATATTTTTGGTTTAAGACCATGGCAAGGTCCTTTGCAAAATAAAATGCTGCTGTAGTACACAAACATTATTATAGGATAAATAGGAACAAATGAGGCAGAAAACCTTCATATTGTGCTCTTTTCAGTGCAAGTCAGGAAGGTTTACCAATATATCTAGACCATATGTCTGCTTTCTTCGTGTACCATCAGAAGAGACAAATATTTTGGAAAACTTTGTAGAATTCTAAGTTATTGGGTTAATTCTTAAAGTTCAACTGAAATAAAAGAACAAGCCTCTTGGATGTTTTTAATCTATGGAAAATGCAATTCTATCACCAGAATAAATTTTAAAAAGAGAACAAATCCTGGGAAAATGCATAAAATCTTCAAATTAGAAATCGGTAATAAATTATCCTCTCTTTAATATTGTATTACTGCCAATCTAACAAACAGCCCACAGATTATGACAAACCTCAAAATTAGGCCTCTCTGAAATTAAGACGTAAAAATTGGTTTAACTGTGAAAAAATGAAAAAAAGAATCTTCTGCTTCTTTACCTACACACCTTTATTTGTTCAGATATAAGAAAAATCCCCTACATGTTTTCCCATATGTTTCTCTTAATAAACTGGGTATCAATAAAGCACTTCTACTCATTCAAATCATCCCATTGTAGATTCAAACCCTGACAGCTGCTAGGCTGCTGCTGTGCCAAGATCACTACTGCTATCCAGTCTCACCTCAGCACTTTCCTGTGCTTCCATGAATTCACTGATTGGCTTCTTATGTATTTAGATGTGAAATTTAGCTTTTTCTCTGCTGTACAGAACATGGTACACTGGAGTCCTGGGCTCATAGCTAGGGTTCCTATGCACTCTGATGATAAAAATAAAAAACCACTATAAACATGCAATGACACAATCTAGATCTATACCAACCTCACCTCAAGAAGCTTAAATTCTAGATGATAGTGTGAAAAAGCTGAATTATATATATTTCTGATTGATAAATTGTGTGTATTTCAGCACACACAAGCAACACAGAGACAAAAACAGTCTGCTGACCACTCATGTTAGCGTTACAGCTTATAGATATACATAGATGCTTTATGGGCACAGAGCATTAGTGTTAGGACAGGCAGAAATGACTTCAAGTTTTGCCAAAGGAGGTTTAGATTGGATATTAGGAAAAATTTCTGCACTGAAAGGGTTGTCAGGTACTGGAACAGACTGCCCAGAGAAGTGGCAGAGTCACCATCCCTGCCAGTATTTAAAACACACATAGATGACTCACCTGGTAATATGGTTCAGTGAAGGAGTTGTCAGAGCTGAATTAATGGTTGGATTTGATAACCTTAGAGGCCCTATCAAACTGAACTGATTTTATGATTCTATGACATAGAGACATCTGTGGTATATGGCCATAGAAATTTGATGAAGAGAAAGCTGGAAATTGCTTACCATGCTGCAGCCAGGACAGTCAGGACCATTTTCACATGTCCTGCGCCGTGCCTGGATCCCTCCTCCACACTGAGCCGTGCAACGCTCCCATGGCCCCCAGCCTGTCCAAAACACATGAGGGGTGCACAACAAATGCTCATTGCAGTACCTGTGAGAAGAGAAATAAGGAGGCAAAGAATCTATTTATTATCAAGACAAGACCTCTCCAAGAACCTCCCTCATTCACACAATTTAGATAGATATTTGTACAGGGAAATATTTTATGCAAAGGGCCTGTCCCTACTCATTAAACACTGCACTAACAGTTGTCACACTGCACAGAATGTCTAAACATTTAAGTGGGCTTTTTAGATTACAATTGTGTGGGTGGAGCATTTGTTTGCTTTATTCAGTTACTTTATACATTCCATGCAATGCAGCCACACAATTATACTGCTGTCATGTAAGCAAGATTGCAAAGCACTTTATTAAAAGCAGTTGCGGTTATCCCTCTGTGGTAGTAAACCAAACAGAAGGGCAAACATTCATGTAAGAAGTCTTATCAGTATCCAGCTAAGAACTCATTAGGATCCATCTTTCTCATCTTCAGATAGTGACACTTGTTTCTCTGCTTCTATGGGCAGTATAAAAGCTAAAACATTGATTCTAGGCCTAAAGAAACTTCACTTGTTTATAATGTTATTACTTTATCTTTTAAAGGGTGTTTTTAAGTATTATAATCTTTAAAGGATTTTCCTGTAGGCTGAAATTGATTCAGAGGCCTAGTAGGTTCTTGAGGGAAGCACAATTGAGTCGTCATAATTGTAACTATACTTTCGGACATGTGGGAAGGTCCCAGCTTCAGCTGAGTTTTTTCAATTTTTGTAGAAACTTTCGATTCTTGATTTTTTGAATGTGTCATCCAATAATTCTAGCCATAGCATATGCTGCTTTTTAAGGAACCTCTACTCAGATCCAAAGGATTTGGGCCATCAGCAAGTATGACTAAAAGACCAAGTGTCATTTTGATGTTGGAGGCAGGAATGCAACATAAGTTCATGCACAACAGCCAAGGTTAATGCACAACAGCCAACTTTTACTGAGTCCACTTCTCCTTATATAGATCTGAAGGTCTGCATGGTCAATCCCTATTAGTTGAACCAGCTGCGACCCAGCCAACCAGCCAATAGCTGCTCACATCCCCAATACCCTAGGCCTGCTCTCAAATGGTCCATAATGGTCAAGTTATATAACTACGGTATTTATATAATTGGATATGTTTCAGTTATAATATTGGGATTAATTATAACTGTGAGGCCTTCAGGCCAGCTGTTGGCCAACACAGCAACCAACCTCTTAGATAAAGCAAACACACAGCATAGTCATGTAACACACAACCCTGAAGAAATTCTCTGGTATTTCATGGATGCATATGGGTAGCTCTTATTACCATACTGACTGTCCTGAATGAAAAAATCAATCTGATACAGTATTTCCTCAGTTTTTACACCATTTATCTAAAATCCAATGTCTTGTAACAAGTTTTCATCTCCTGGCACTCTTCTACAGTGAAAACTGACTCTAACAATCAAGTTATTTGTTTTCTACAGAAAGAGAAATGACACTACGAACAGTTGTCATTTTCAACAAGAATAACATCAGCTGTTTTCTTGTTTGTTTTCAGAAAGCCCCAATATCTGCAAGCTCTAATTCTTCACTATACCTCATTATAAGAAATTTGAACATTTGGAACTCTGGAGGCCAAAACAATAATGTTGGTGTTGTAAGCAACATAAGGATGTAGATTTATTGCATATGCTGGAGCCTAAAATTCAAACTTTGTCCCTAGGTCTGGACAACTCCATCAAAATCAAAAGATTGGGAGTGGGGCTATTAGGGAAGTTATTAGGTTAATACAGTGTGCGGTTATTAGGGGAGTGACATTTAGTTTTCTGCTTCTGTAGAGTTAAGTTATTCACATCTTATATTGACTTTTCCTCTGGAAACTGAGGAAAAAAACGCCCAAACCCTCAATATTTATGAATCTGATGTCAGAATTCTTCAGTGTGTGATTTGGGTACACACAAAACAGTTTACATTATGCCATCATTAAAGAAACATAGCAATGTCCTGTGCCTGGATATTCTTCCTCTAGAACTCCAACTGCACACTTTCTTTGTCACATGCAGTCATTTATGTGAATCTGTGGGATAGTTTCTTCTACATCATTTGTTGAGAATGTGTAGTCAATAAAATATAGACATAACATCAGCATTTATTTAGTCAAATTAGTACAAGCTTTGCATAATTTCAGTTCGTAATGAAGATGTGTTAATTTGGGAGACACACTTGAGGCTAAAGCAAATCTGCCATGAAGTTTAGAATTACTGATATTCAGCCATGCAGAAGTAAAATTAAGGAATTTGTCTTGCCTTAAAATAGAGGTGTGTACATTGTATCTAAAAATGAAGCGGTCATCTAACTTGAGCAACAGTTCATGGAAAGAAACAGCCCACTTAAAAATATTATTTATGTCACCCTAAAGCAAAGGTCATATAAATATACCGCTCAATGTACAGATTGATTTTCTTTGACTATAAATGCTACACGGGAGACAGACATCTAAGCAGCCATTAAAGACAATAGAAATCTTGTCAATATAAACTAGGGAGACTAGAATAATTGATTTGATGAATTAAGGAATATACAGCAGAAGGACACAAATTACTGTTCTCCACAGCCTGTATTGACTACATTTCTACCCACTACAGTGGAAGTTCAGACACCTGATAAACATTCACACTTGTGAATACCTGAATTTAGGTATGACAGATCTTTGAGGACAGTCATGCCACTGTGCAGTGGCTCTTTTAGTGTCTACGTGACTAACCTCTCTCATTTAAGCAGGAGACAGAAAAGAAACCTAGTAACAATGATCCTTCACAGTAAGCACTTCAAAGGGCAGGCAATTCTGTTATCCAACACTAATTAAACTAATTAAACTAATTAAAGATGCAGATGAAAAAAAGCCCTAAAATTTCTATGCAAGCCACTTCAATTTAGGAAACAGGTTTTGTTTTCAAAAAAAGTCAATACCATCAATTTTTCCTTTTTTTTTCAGGAAAAAAAAAAAGAGAACAAACCAAAACAAACACAGCATACAAACAGAATCTTATTTTTATTTCAGCCAGCGTCTGAAAACATCAGGTATGTTTTCTCAGCTAGAGACATCCCTGCAATTGATCTTTGAGAACTGTGCTACACCATGGGACTCTGAGACAAATTTCATTATATTTATTCTTGGCTACATTTCAAATCACTCAGAAGCCTTTTTTCCCCTTTTGCTCTTTCTTCCCCTCTTAATTTTGTTCTCAGGACCCACAGAGCTAACATTTTACAGTAATTCAACAACACATGCAATGCAAGAAACTTGAATCTGTGAAACCACTGCCCTCTCCCCTAACCTAACTGCAGTGAGGTCAGCATGGAGAGCAGCCTAGAGAAATTTTGTACAGTGACCCTTCACATTTCCCTTGAAGTGAACACAAGTTCAAATGACCTAATAAAAGAATTGTCATACTGGGGAGGGGTGAAATATCCTTTGTCCGGTTGTGTCCACAGCTATTAGTGCCTACAGCAAATTTTACAACTACAATTTCAGTGGAACTGGCATTACTATTCTTGTTTTTATAAATATCTCAACATGTAGTAAAACATCAATTTATTCAATTGCTATACAGCACTGAATACTACAGGCTAACTGTATGACAGTTACAAATATGCCCTTTTCATTCCACAGAGAGATGTTATTTAAACAAACACTTTGTAATTTTGAACTATGTTATACTACCCTGTGTTCAAGAAAAACAAAGTAAGCTTGATCTTTGTCTGCCCCTTCCTGTACAATGTACTGTTCTGCAGTGGGTTGAGATTACCAGTTGGTGATTTATTGGGATGCACATACTATACTGAGGCTGATGGGAATGCCAGATTCCTTTAACTGAAGATAGGTGCATGACATGCACATGCCCTACTGGATTGAGATTGTTACACTGACAGAAATACCCATCCTGGAGACTATAGAAGGTGGCATGTGGTCCCAGGGGCTCCTGTGGAAGAGGAGGGAGCAGAGAAAGCAAGGAAGGTGGGAACAGGCACTTCCCAAAAGACAAGACATCCATAGGAATGCAAACAAGCCTAAAGCCTTGTGGTGTTTAAGCTGCTCTGCTGAAGTGGGCTGGGCTTGTTCACACTGCTCAGAAACAAGAAGTGCTACACAGAGCAGGCACTTGACTCTCTGTGGTTCCTCTTTCTCATGGAAACAAGCCCAAAAAATTGAATATTTGCTGAGAACTGTGTACAAAATAATGCAACAATATGTCCTACTTCTAATCATTTTATACACCTCAAAATATCCACGGCTTTCAAAAATTTACTCCTTGTCTGCAGACAATTTATTTTTCTAATTTCCATGGTTTTTTTTCTATCCTTTCCTGTGTAATAAAAGGTAAGTGCATCCACTGAAAGCAAGCAATTCTTATTTTAATGTACCTCATTTCTGCACAGATAGGAGGGGGACCAGTAGACTTAATGAGGCCATATCTACAGCACCTTCCACAGAAAGGAAAAACATTCTCACTCCATGATAATATCAAGACAGGATACTACAGACTCTGTAAACTAGAATCTAGAGAACTTCCAGCAGCTTCAGAGAATATTTCTCATAAGAAAAAATCAGAAAAATTAAGCCTCTAAGGAATTCATTAAGATGTCTTCCATCTGGAGTCTTAACTACAAAATTATTATCTGATTAGCAAATTTTGTTAAAATGTTATTTTTACTCTCCATATTCTGTCTAAATGCATATCAGCTGCACTTTTGACCTACTTCTACAAGGGGAATTTGCTTTGTAATATGAGTATTTGCTGTTATCTCTCAACTTTCCCCCCCTTCCCACACACCCCTTTAAGCAGCAGAGCATGGAACAGTTTAACTTATCTTCAATGCTTTCAATTAGCAAATATTGCCATTGATTTCAAGGGAATGGCCAGGAAGCACAGAACTGCCAATACATTAGCCATGATAGGATAATGACTTTCATGAGATAAGACAAATATATCCTAGACAAACATTTAGCTTTTAACACGTGAACAAATACTCTTAAGCTGA